AAACTTCGAACAATAGCTGCGTTATACGGATTTTTCATACGAGTTTGGCCTGCAGAGTCCGTGATTGTATTGTAGAGCTCTGTCATAAATTGAGGAGGCGTACCTTTGTAGCTATCTTTCTTGAAATTTCCTCGGATGCCTAGTGTCTATTGAAAATCACGACCGCATAAGTCCCAATGAAATATTGAGATCCAAATGATAAAAAAGCAATGTTTTATAATATTCTTACAACAATCTCACCTCCTTGAATTCCTCCAGTGCCTCATCTTTCTGCAAATTGACAGGTTCACCTTGTAATTCGCTTATTCCAACGCCGTCAGAGTCCCAGATTGGCTGCAAATTGGAATCTCCCTCGAATAATAACTCCATTGCGCTGAGTTTGACGATTCGAAGTTCGAAAATCAACATCATCGTAGTAATCAACAACATCCTCACCATCGTTGCCCTCATTCTCACCAAGTTGTTTCCCTCACGATAATTCGAAACACAGATAACTAACACAATTAGCTAATGCCAATAAACGAGTAGGGATATAAAACGTCAAGAAGAAGAGTACGAAGATAGATGAAGAATAGTCGAAAAACAGCTCGTAATCGCAAGCCGACGGGGGCTAGGCAATCATTTCTTTGCGCGCACCAACGTTTGCGAAAAGCTTTCTTTTCAAAGCGAGAAAGGAAGTATAGAGAGTTCAAACGAAACGTCCGCGACATGTGGGGCGTCTTCGGCTCGCCGAGTCACCTTTATGCGAGACCACCTCCCCCGCGCTCTTGCTCCTTCGCTCTCGTTAGCCCCTTCCGCCCGCTTGATCGCGAATCGGATTGTCGCCCTCTCCTGCGAGCGCGGACTCCATTAACTTGAGCCACGAAATCATCAACAACGACCAAGTCCGTGAGAGAAGAACGCCAAGGCATTATGACAAGACATCGACCACCGATAGAATTTAATTGTCACTTGTCTTAATTCCGATACAATACATCAAAGCGAAGAGGTTTTTTTACAATTAGAAAAGTAAAATAATTAGTAAAAATTAAATTTTGTTCTAGCATATTATGGTATTTTTCAATATAATTTTTAATATTACAGCAGTTATATTTACAATATGCAATCAATTTTATTAAATTAATGTATTTACTATAATGTTGTACCACTATGCATAGGCTAATTTATTAAATAAATTATTATCATTAGTACTAGCCTTATAATTATCATCACCGTTGATGATCATTCTTTGTTTTGTTAAAAAATTTTTTATTTGCATTTGTTGGCTTTGTTATCTCGAATTCATTTATAAGGGCCAAATATTCCTTAGGTAACATAGTGTTGTGAAATTAAATATTTTTTTATAAAGTCTCAACTAAATTTCCAACAATAATGATCATTCTCATAAAATTATTATAATATTCTCCTTGCTTTTCATGAAGTTGCTATTACAAATAATTGACCAACGGTTTGAGGTGAAACGATATGTAATTTGTAAGGCAAGATACGGCGCTCAGTGTGCCGAATCAGCTTTGAGAAAAAGCTACAGGAGACAGACGGATATGGCGAAAAAGTGGCGCCGAGCTCGCGCAAGGGCAGATAATAAACTTCATACAAAGAGAAAGGCAAGCTGCTTCCTAAATACGCCGATGATTAGTAAGCGGTCAGAAATGTGGCCCGGCATGTCGCAGTTTTCGAATTATTTATGACGTCGCATCTCCCGACCATTTGTCAATCTGGCATGTTTTGCCATCGCATCCTATTTTCCGAAGAGCGGCGCCGGCGGCCCACGCAAACCGCGCGTAAAGAATTCCGAGTGCGGAATTCAAATGAGACTTCGCGCGCTACAACGCAAGCTCTCGCGTGCCAACCACTGACGTGGTCAACGGACAACACCGACTCAAACGAAATCGGCGCCTACTATTCTGCCCTGATCTTACGATTAAATTATTATGGGAGCATGGAGCCTGAGCTCTTTGTCCTCTTTTATCCTAAGGATTTATTACTCTGCATCCACTCCAGATTCGGATAATCCCTTTATAACCTTTCTTCTTACTTACATTTCAATATAATATCGATATTTGATTTAAATTGACTTTTTAGTACATCAATATATCGAGACGAGTTATAAATTCATTGTCATGGATCCACTAATGCTTAAGGTCAAAAATTTCTAACTCCAACGTATTGTTTAATGGTCGTACATATAAAATTATTGAGAAAGATAAAGTGCGGCGAAGGTATTTGTTAGGTATCTTTTTGAATATGTTTAAAAATATAGAAGCTATTACAAATATCATAAACTCTTTGTTAAAAGACAAAAGAATAGAAAAAAAAAACATTTAAAGTTGAGATTGTTACACCGAGTAGATTCAGCGTATCATCTTAATAATAGTCATTTCAGTAAATTAACTTTAACAGTAAGATAACATCCCCATATTCTATTGAAATTATTTTAATGTCAACAAATAACACTATAGTAAGGCTTAATCAATTTCATAGAACACTTTGTAACACTTTGTAGTACAAAAATCTTTTGACAGATTTTTATTTTTATTTTACATGTAAAGGTGAGACTTATTGGTAAAAGGCTGTTTTGGTGTTTAGTTTTTAAAGGCTTGGTGATTCAAATTCTGTTTTAATAAATTTAATTTTCATTCGATCTATTTTTTTACACATGATAATTATATACATAAGTAGAATGTTTTCTAATTATTGTGTTGGAAATAAATATTACAACAACCGAACTTTTATTATTTTTATGGTTAATAATTTAGAATTAAATGATATTTATTTTTTAATTCCATAGAAACTATATATTTTACTTTATAGTCCTGAAAGGTAAAAGTAAAATATATAAAGTAAAAGATTATATATAAACAATTATATATTAACAAAATTGTAATTAATAAAATATCCTAATTATTTTTATAATAAAATAATAAATTAATAAAACTTCAATAACAAAAGTTTATGAAACTAATTTAAAAAGTAATAATCGATCCGATCGTTTAAACTATTCTACTTTGAGCTATTTTCAGTTATTACCACAAAAGCTATTCTTATTATTATTTCCATTACTGTTATTAGAATCATTTCTTTTCATGAACTCATTCTTGAACAAATAAATAAAATTTATTTTTGATATAATCGATTGCTTGTAACTAAAGCAATTTATTTAAATAAGATTCGTGCAAAACTAATATTATAGTTTATTTTTTATTTTAGTGTAGCAGAGTAAAATTTATACTTTACGATCTATGAAGCATAACGTATTTCTGGAAAATGTAAGGTGATAAATTGTTTTTTCTAGTAGTAAGTGTGACTCATAAATATTATATTAATCATAGATGTTATTTTCTTTAAAGCGTTTAAAACAATAAATAAATAAAAATGATAAATCAGAAATATAAGTAACCGACTAATTAAGAAATAAAATTTTTAATTATAACCTGAATAATATAAAATACAATATAAGATTTATGCGGAAGAAATATGAAAAATTGAACAAATTGATCTCATTTTGAAACAGAAAAACATAGATAATTTTAAACATAAAGTCAGAATTCTAAATCATCATTATTTTTAAAATGTTACTTATTAAATGAAAGAAAACTGTTGTAGAAAAATGTAAATCAAAAGAATCTGAATATAGTTATTTAGTAATGTTTATTATTATTTTTTTAATTCTATTTATACGATATTAATAAATATTTTTAGTATCGTTAAAAAAATTTCTTATAATTTTTAATTTATAATAAACAATTTTTATCATATTGACGATTTGATTGCTATGCAATTTATACTCTCCCAACTATTTTCAACTGATTTTTTCAAAATATAATTATTTGTTTTAATTTGTAAGTACACAATATTCCTTAAGTAGGAAATATAATTTTATTTATCTTAACGAGTAAAGACTTTTTACTTTGTTAAGGTAAAAATATAAGTATATGTATTGGTTTAAACAACAATTCAGCTTTGTTATGAGATAATTAAGAAATGGATTATTTGTTTATATAAAAAATATTTTATTGAACATTTCGTTTTATCATTTTATGGTGCAATTTCAATGCTAATATGATAAGAATATTATTGGTTTTTGTAATGCAATTATTGCAACACCAATTATATAATTGAAAGTTTTTATTTTTTCCCAAATATATGCCTTATGTTAATACATATTTCTTCTTTAACCGTAATCTTCTCTTTCGGTTTTCATACACAGTAATTTTTGAATACTTCTGACTTTTTAAAATTGAAAATATGAAATATTTGATACAATTGATGGAGAGTTGGCGAATACATAATGTTTTTTTTTGTATATGAATACGATTTTATAGTATTTTTGTTTATAATATATTTTATATTAATATTTCGTTGGGCATTAAAAAGATTTATGATTGAAATAGAATACTAAATTTATATTTTATCATTGAAAAAAGTTAATAACAGTATTTACTTATTTTTCGAAATATTGGTAAAATTGAGAATATGATTATATATATATATATATATATATATATATATAATTATTATCATTTTAAAATAATAAAACTGTATAAATGCAATTATGCATAACCATAATGTAATTTTATTTCACTCTATCACATGATGTAACTTAAAATTGACGTAGTGGGCAATATATATGTACTCATTACTCAAAATACAAATCGAGTTGAGAGCCAGAAATTAGTTAGTTTACGGCTTCCTTTGGTTAACAAGATGCTCAGTATAAGTAGTGAATGTCTGTTCAATTGTCCCAAACGAACACTATGCTTGCTCACGCTACATGATCTCCACGACAGATCTCTTATTCTCTGTCTTTTTATCTTCCTTCTTCCCCCTGTAGCCCGTCCGCCAATCTGGTTATCATGAAATCATCGCAACAGACTGAGTAATGATTTGTGTTAAAATTGCTCAAGGACTCGCGATTCATTTCCGTATTGTCGGACATCAGATTCAATAAACTTGTTTCTCTATAAGAATAGAAGAGTTTTTAAATTCAATATATATATAATTGAAATAGATTTATATCAATAAAATACTTTATTGAAGGTACGAGAAAATTAAATATTACTAAAATATTTTCTATTTTAATATATAATGAAATAAGATTTAGTGAGATTTTCATTCATAAAATATTCAATACTATAATTAATTGAATAGATTATTTCACAATAAAATAAAGTATGAAGTCAATATGGATCAAGATCTAATCTATTTAATAAATGTATGAAAAATATAGTATTATATATTTAAATTGTAATGAAATAAATGAATAAAATAAATCTAAATTTTCATACACTATATATATTTAATTATTTATTTATTTACTTATTAATAATAAGATTATTAATATTGAGATATAATAAATAATATTTGATCATATAAAAATTAATATTTATTTATAAATTAATATTTCATATATTTTACAACATTAAAAAAATAGAAAACATCATGATCGCACTTTTATGTTTTACAATTTTTAAACTTACAAATTAAACTAAACACACGCACATTGAAGTATTTGGATAATATCTCTTTTCATTCCTCGCCGTGTTCTACAGGATAGAAAAGCCAAATAATAATTATTAATATAAAATTGTATAATTTATAATTTATACAAAGCAATTTCACATAAAATTTTTTAAATTGTTAAAAATAAATAAGGTACCTATATTCGTGAACCTTAAATTTTACAGCAATGCAATTTTGATTCTTGGAATAAACAGCAGCAAGGCACTTTGTAGGATTCTTCTTATCTCGTAATATACACGTTTCCGTAGTATTGCCAGAACATTCTCCAACACATTGACCGATATTTATTTGCTTACATATAAACGAAAAATTAATTTTCCTAATATTAATATGATATTAATATACTTAACTTTATTAGTCTTGCAATTTTTACTAACATATAATATAAATATGATATAAATATAATATAAATATGATTTCAAGTTTCAAAAAAGTAGTTTACTAAATACCATACTTTAATATATATAAAAATTTTTTAGAAAAAATATTTTTTAAACACTTTATATAATTAAGCATTCGATATAAACGTAATTGATATATTCAATATTTGTTAAACATTTTTTAAATACTATTAATAAAATTTTATCAATTTTATTAATACTTTTGAGAAGTAATGAATTAATTATGAAATTGATAGATACTAATAGGGAATTATGCTATATCATTTTTAACCAAGCAACAAAAATGTTAAAATATAAGAATTATATTTAATTTCATCAAAAATAATAATACAATCTATTCAACAAATAGAAACATTTGAGAACGTCACAATACTTTTTATCTTATTTTTATTATGCAAAAACCTAAATTAAATAACATATTTACTTACTCTCAGTATTGGTTTGGCCTCCGCTATATTCATGTCTTCTTTTATTTCAATACCACTAAAGTCCAATATTGTCTCTACACGGTCCATTCTATGACAACTTCCAGTGCAACTACATCTTTCTATAACTTGATGAACTTCGTCACCTACAATTTGTAAGAAAAAAAAAACAATCTTATTATGTTTATAATTCTTATACTATCATATTAATTCATAATTTATTGTTACTTAAACAATCTAAATTACAGAAATAAGAAATATTTCCCTTATATTTCCTATTATTTCAATTAACGTATTTAAGGTTTTCTTCTAAAAATTAATTTTAATTAATTTTCCTTATATATTTCTTTATTACCAGACATAAAGTAAATTTTAATATAATCATTATTTTCATGCATAAATTTACTGTTGTTTAATATAAATTTTTTTAATTACATCGAAATAAATTTATTAATTGAATATACTATATTGAACATTTTAATTTAAGAATATTCAATTTTTTAAATTTATTATTCATTATTTATTTTTTTTATTGCTTTAATTTATTATTCATTATTTATACATGATATAATATTACGTAACTGATTTCCTTACTTAATTAACCAAGATAAATTATAAAATAATTTGTTAAAATATTTTAATTATTTAAAAATTGCATACTATAAATTTTATGGATTAATAATTTTTGGAAATGTAATTTTTAATTAATAGCAAACATTAATTTTTGAATTAATGATGATATTAGAACGTTTCTTAATTTGCTTTGTACTCCATCATTGCTGTGAATAAACATGTTTAAATTAATTTAAATATAAATTTTGAATCTTGTAGTTCGAATAAAATTTTATGTATTTTAATTTTCTCAATATAATCTTTAATTATTTTCAGAAATCTCAATATATCTGAAGTTATTAATACTTTTTCAATGTAATTGCAAGAATAATCTTACAAAAAAAGTAAAATCAGTTTACGGTTTCATAAAATTTCTTTAAATTAATTTATCATTATTAAATAATAGAAACTATATCTTACCATTTGGTCCATGTATACTAACGGAAGAATTTTTAGTTGGTCTGCAATGAAATTCTAAAAAAATTGAACAAATAAAATAACTTATAAGTAGATCATTTTTTAAATTGTAATTGTATTTAACAAAAATATTTATACTACACAAAATTTCTGTATTTTTATTAGAGTTTGCTCTTGGTATAATACTATAATAATTCAAATATATGATTTTCTATTAAATTTAAATAATTGTAATATGATTTTAGAATATTGAATGCCCTTTAAAAGCTCGTGTATTCATGTTTAAAAGCAGTTGTTGTAAATAAATATTTAACTAAATTTCTTATATCTAATAGATTATTATTAAATCCACATACTTTTGCACCGACCAACACAAATACCCACATCTATTTCAACTTGATACGGAGTTCCCATATACAAAATTTGTGAATATACGTCTCGTCGACATTTTTGCCCTGTAGAACAATCGCAACTATCGATAACTTCAATCGTTTTAACACCTTCTATTGTTGAAATTCTATCTAATCTTGCTGTTCTTGGACGACATTGCGTGTTTGGCATGCATTTCTGTAATTGGAATATGTAAATAAACATTTACAAACATGAAATATTCGATTATTTGATTATTAATATTATTACACATGTAAATATTAGTTAAAACATTTAATTTATTACTAATATTTAAATATGTATAAAAAGAAATTTTAAAATATGAGTATTTTAATTAAAATATTTCAATTTATCACAGATTATTTTTTATATTTTATTTATAGCTTAATACAATATTGTACGTATCTTTAATATGTATACAATATTTAGATAGTATGGTATAAAGATTATGATATTTTTATTAAATACATTAAAAATTAATATTGATTTTATACGAAATAACAATATAAAGAGTTTTGAATACGTTAACTTCAACAATACAGTTAAAAATTAAAAGAAATAAAAACAAATAGTAATTCTTTAACTATTTTCCATTTAAGATTAAAATATTTATAAATAATAAATTAAAAATGCTGATTCAACGTACTTTATAAGTATTATATATGTTTGATTATAGTTTTCATACAATATAAATTAGACATTCAGTTTTTAGTAATTGATTAAATATAAGTAATGATTGTACTATAACTGGCCAATTAAATACTTTTACTTTTTTGTACATAAGAAAAATCATAAATTATATTACAAAAAAATAATTTTAATATCATGCTATTTTTGCACAAATCAAATTTTTTTTTTCATTTGTAGCATATATTTACCTTATTGAAAAGTATATTGAAAGATATAAATAATGAACAAATTTATATATAGCTCATCTAGCGAAAATATATTCATGATATGTCGCAAATACATTCACGTAAGAATTAAATTTAGAACTGTATAAAAATATTTTTTTCTAAGGGAGAGTTATTTTAAAAATTTTACACAGTAAAATATTTACATATATGCAATAGTATAAAACATTTACAAATATGCAAATAGGAGCAAACATTTATAAATAGATTCATTGGATTGTACTTTTCTATATTCATTTTTAATTAAGTAAAGTACTACATTAAATAATGAGTAGAGATAATATGTCGCTTTGTTCAGTTTCACTAATTTCTTTTATGTACTTGAAAATTCACTTTCAAATTTTACACATAAAAACTATTTGTTTTAATAAAATTATACGTAATTTTTTACCTGAATCGCAGGCCGACTAAGATCTCCGGAATCATCAACAAAATGTCGATGACAAAAGCTTTTGCAATATCCAGTATCAATTTGAATTACTTCACCAGATATACCTTTAGTAAATCATTATAGATTAATAATTAAATTAAATTAAGGGTATTTGAAATCAATAAAATGGTAATAATAAAATAGAAAATTTATTGAGAAAGTTGAATACAGCATTCAATGATAAAAAAATTATACAAATCAATTATATTATTTCTATCATTACATTACTTGTTTTTAATGGAATCATGTTAATAATTGCAACTTTTTAATATTAGCTTACTTAAAAGAGTTTCTTATTGATTGCCTGATAGTCTACAAACGGTTTTTGTAACTTTTTCCGCATAAATACGTATTATTCTTATTTATTAAATTGTAAACCTGTAATAAACGTTCACATCCTTATTTACCCTTATTATATTATTTTTTAACATTTATTTAAATTTTCAATCGTAACAAATTGGCATTTTACATATTTATAACTGATTTAGTTTATTTTAAATATAATATAACCTTCTATTTTCTATCTTTTATGTTAAACCTTTTATGTTAAACCTGTGTGTTTTAACCTTTTCTAATTTAACTAAAATTTATTAATAATTCTATCTATTATTTTTGTATAAATAAATTTCTTTAAATTACGTTATTTTCTTAATTTCCCTTATTCATTATTAGGTTTATTACAAACATTTATTCCACGTTTTTGTTAATGCGTTTAAGCCAATGTATTTATTGTAGTATTTTAATAAATACTTATATAATGTGTAATATAATTCTGATTATGACTAACATTAGGCATTCATAGAGTTACCAGTAGTATTTTACAAGTATTCAGTTAACTAAATATTACAATGTGATTTTTCTTCTATAAATTTGTACATTTCTTAATACATATTATAAAACATTTTTACATATTTGATATATTTATAAAAAATAAAATATAATATCATTTAATTGATATTATTATTGTCATTATATGCAATATAAATAAAATAAAATTATAATATAATCCAATTATGTAATAAAATAATTGATTGAATTTCATAAGTAAATACTATTTCATAATTTTTGTAAGAAAAATTTAGGAATAGTAATGGCTATTATATGTTATATAAAACATTTGAATTAAAACATTTAATTAAATTTATTTAAAATCAGAAATCATTTAAAATATAATTATATTTTCTATTTTAGTATCCCTACTTCATCCATATTTATTATTTTACAAATAATTGTGTAATTTTTAGTATACTTTAATTTTTTTAATACATTATTAAGTTATTTTTCAAAAAGACTTATATAAAGGTACAATATCCTTTTATAGTTGAATTCTGAGGCAAGAATAGAGAACAAAAAAATAAAAAAGTGAAGAACACAAAATAGCGTATCCCAATATATTTTTAGATGCGGCGGCACTCGTGACATTTAAGTATGCGCCATGTGATTTATTACAAGAATATTGAAGATTTATGCGCTCACATTTTAATCGGGCGTTTGTAAAATTATACCATTTGTTTTTTTTTCAATTGGTGTTCATGTTTCAATGTGAGTATAGTTTATTTTGACTTTCGAAAAAAGTGAGCACATAATTTTAGAAAATGATTTTCTTTGGCTATAACTTTTGTAATAAATTAATTTGAGCTAATAAAATAAAGAATATAATTTTGTAGTGTTATAATATCAAGTTACAAGATACTTTTATTTGTCAAAATATTTAAAGCTTTGAGACAATTTATAACTAAAAATTTAATTGACATTGGACGTTAATACATAATTTTATTATAATTTTAAATAAATGTTTTAATATAATTTAAATATAATTTTAAATCTATGAACGATTGGGTTCATATTAATCATAATGATTATTATTTCCATAAAATATTTTAAATACAAAAAATATATCCATATACATTCCAAAAATTAAATATTAAAAAGAATTGTTTTAATTAAAACCTGAATTATTTAATTTTACAAATATTTTAAATTACAACAAATATAAAGAAAATTAAATTTGCTATAAAAGATTGAAATTTCAGAAGGAATTTTACAAAGTTTGTAATTATAAAATTATAAATAAATTATGCATAAATATAGAATATATAGATATATAGGAAGCAGAAATTATATTTTAATTATTTACATACTTACATTAGGAAAAATGTATTATTACTTATGGATGTGATATAATTACCTTTTTTTACATAATGCTTAATAAAGAAATATATAAAATTTGAATTTAATATTTAAATAGATATGGTTTAAAAATTTTAATATTTAATTAACCTTTCTAAATGTATTAATAATTAATCATAAGGAATTTAATTTGTATACTTATTTCTTATAAAATGCGATTTTTGCTAATTAAAAAAAAAATATATATATAATCTATAAATTTATTACCTGATTTAAATTACATTTATTTTTCGTAAAATTTAAGGTATACTATTGTAAAAATATATTTGTAAAGTACTGAAAGATAAGCCGGATATTGCATTTGATTAAGTTTGACATTGCCAATTGACCGACTCTTTAAAATCTGTTCAGAAATAATGTACTCAGATATTACATATCTAAGGTCTTGATAGAATTTAAAAAATTATATTTATAAAATTAGTACAATTATGTTTATAATTTATTAATATTATTGAAAAACACAAAAAAACTCACCGTGGCCAACGTCTATCATTTTTTTTTGCCTGACACAACAGAGATATTTTCTTACATTTGGAATTGAAGGTGTCACTTGTTTTTCCACTTTTTTATTTCCTTTAACTGTGGATACCAAATTTCAATTTTTCACATTTTATCTTTTAATTACATTTCTTATTGTCACAAATTAGAAATAATTAATGTATATATTGGAATACCATATACAAATTTTTTTAATCATATTTTTATGTTATAAAAATGGATTTTAGATTTTCTATTGAACAAATAAATATTCATACATAAAAACTTAAATATTTACCTGTATTAAAACTATCCAAATTTATAATGGTTACTAACCAAATAATATTTATCCATTGTTTTGGCATGAAAATGTTTGCCATTTTAAAATTAAATAATTAAATTAATTTAAAGATGCTAATTACATTGCATTAATTTGAATAATATAATGATTATATTGTATTATTTTTAAGCCATATATATGTATTTCTTTGTTTGTTTGATTGTTTATGTATGCACGTGTGGGTATATTAATGATTTTCTAGATAAAGTATGATAATTATTCTCATGCATAACATCCAGTGTTTATTCCATTAATTCTTATTCTAGTGCAAAATTTTTTATTAAAATACGTAAAGGTGCACTATATAAATAGATATTTAAAGTATAAATGAATTTTTGTTTAAAATATTTAAAATCAGTTTTACAGTATATAATATTTATATACACTTTAATATAATACACTTTAATATAAAATAATATTATTGTCAAATTCACGTATATATAATTAGATGAATAATGTATGGTAGAAATTGATGGTATGCGCCCATGTGGATTGCAGTTCGCGAAAAGACTGACTTAATATGGTACTTCGATCTTGTTTGAATGAATCGGAGCAACTATCATTGACAATTAGTATGAACTCTATTATGTTTGTCTTTTTGCCTCTGACAAAGTAGTTTTGATATAAGAATATTTTTTGTCAAATTTTGTATAAATATACGTTATTTCTAAGAGTTTGGTGTTGAAAATTTGCAAAAAAATTAAATTTTGTATGTAAATTATTGTAAAATCGATCGTATACAAAATAAATAATTTAAACCTTTTAATAAATCTTTAAAAAAAAATTGGTTACTTATTTAAAACCATTTTTAAAAAGTCGAATTATAAAATAAACTATTTTCAAATGATAAGCGAGATGTAAATTTAACATGAAATACATCCCAAAATTATATTTGTTTTAAAATTGTTTAAACTTGTTAAATTCCTTCAAATATATTTGTAAGATTAAAATTATAATTTTGTTTTTAATCATTCCTTTAAAAATATCTACATGAATATATCGAATGATTATTAATAAGTATTGATAATTACTAATTTTCCTAAATTAAGTATTTGCCAATCCGATAAATATGGTTTGAATCGTATATGCAGTATTTCTAAGCACAAAGTCAATTAAAATTATTACAAGTTACCCTATATTATTTAAATTGTATACAAAATATTAGAAATATTATGAATACTATTAACAGTTCTATTACAATTATTTATTTTAAATTAATTAATTGAGTTAATCATCATTAAATGATAATGGTGAGTGAATATATGAACTTGTTAAGTAGAGAGACTTCCAAACTCTTTAATATTGATTATCGCAATTAATTATTGGTTAATTATAAGTATAATATTATTATTACTTTAAAATAAGAGATAAAATTTAATCGTTCTTTTAAGATACTGGGAATAACTTCTAATACCCATAATTATTAATTAATATTTTATATGTACATGTTTTTGTATTGATAAAATTAATTTTCATAAATTATAAAATTCAAATTAAATAATCCTATTACAAAGCTAATTATTTTTAACTGATATTTAAATAATAAATAGATATTTATAATATTAAAATAGACAATATAAGTTTGCTATAAAAAATATTTGAATAATTTTATTATTTAAATATTTTTATAAAATATTGTTGTAAAATAATGTTATAAATTATTATTATATAAATATTTTTTGTATCAGTATAATTATTATTATTTTCTTAATTAAGCATTAATATAAGTATCTTTATTTCTACCACTTAGAAATTTCATTGAAATTTCAGATGCTTATATTTATAATTGTGTTGAAAATTAATTATTAACCGCACTTCCTGATATTTCCTAATTCTTATTACTATTTCTTTGTAATAGGAATATTTCAATATGGAATCTATTTTTCTTATAACCTCTTAGAATTTTCACATTGTTTAAATAAAATTTATAACATGTAACATATCAATATATTGTTTTAGAATAAAGTATTAATAGGTTATTTATTATCAGTGTTCTATTTAATTAATTGGAAAGAAATTATTTTTATTAATAATTAAATAATTATTATCTCATTAGTAAGTGAAAAATTTTAATGATTTAATAAGATTTAATAATTTGTTTTGAGTATGGCATTAAAAACTAGAAAAAGTTTATCTTTGTGGGTAACATGTGAAAAATGCCAATGTATTATAGCACAAAAAGATACAACAATTCATGAACAAAGTTGCCCTCCTGAGGAACCATGGAATTATGGATTTATTAAAAATGGTATTTTTTATAGCACAATAGAAGTTTATAAATCTTCAGGTGATTTTTCTAAACATAAATTGAATAATATTTCCATTTGTCTGTATATGATAAATTTTGATAACTGTATATTAACTTTTAGAATTTCCTAAATATATAAGTACACGAGAATCACACAATATAGTTTTTATGTCTGAATCAGTATTACAATTATGTGGATTTTCTATTGGTGATCCAGTCATAATTAGTAATAAAGGTATTGTTATTGTAAAATCAGCTTGGCCTATGAATGATAAAAATTTAACTACAATTTTTTTAACAAAAAATGGTAATTTATTAAATATTTATTAAATTTATTTTATAAGTAATGAATATTAAAGAACATTAAAATGATTATAGCGATTGAATTAGACAAATTAGAGGGTTTAGTAACAATTGAGAAAATGAAATCAAGTCCTTATATTGCTCAAGAAGTACTTATTGAGCCTGTTGGTAAGAGCCATACAATAAATTTAACAACAGAATTTAATGTATTAATAAAAAATTATAATCATGAGAGAATATTCTGTATTGGTAATAAAATAATTATACCATATTATGGAAAAAAATTTATTTATAAAATTATAGATATAAGAGCTGATGATAAATTATTAGATAAATTTTCAATTATGAATATATCTAAAGATCTTAGTAGTAATACAAATTTATATTTAATTCTTTATTCAACAAAATGGACAGTTTTAGAAAATATTGAACAAAAGGAAAAAACAAAGAAACAAAAGCGACACAGATTAGAATGTATAGGTGGTTACTTGAACTTAATTGAAGATTTGAAAGATGCTTTTAATATCGGACTTGGAAAATATGGTAATATGGAAAATTTTCATATTAGCAAAGGTATCCTATTGTATGGACCACCTGGTGTAGGAAAATCCATGATTTCTGAGGCATTATTATCTGAAATTAATGCTCATGTAGTCAATATCAATGCATCAGATATATATAGTAAAAATTTTAGAGAAACAGAATTAGTCTTATATAGCATGTTTAAAGAAGCTTTTGAAAAAGCTCCATCGATTATTTTTATAGAAGATATTGATACTTTGTGTCCAAGAAAAAGTAGTTCTATGACAGATCATGAAAAAAGAGTTTTAGCAACATTAGTAACACTTTTTGATAGTTTACAAGATAAGGATAATAAGGTTATGGTTTTAGCTATAACCTCCAGACCAGATACCATTGATTCTTCTTTAAGACGACCTGGAAGAATAGACAAAGAGTTTGAAATGTCTTCTGAAAATAATTGAAAAAATGCCTCATTCTCTTAATAATGTGGACATAGATCAAATTTCTTATGAAACACATGGTTTTGTTGGTGCTGATTTACATGGTTTATGTTCTGAAGCTGCAATGAATGCAATTAAAAGCAGATCGCATTCTCAAACGATTTGTAATTCTGATGAAATGTTAGTAACAAGAGATAATTTTAATCATGCATTAAGCATTGTAAACCCATCAGCGATGAAAGAAGTTTTAATAGATGTTCCTAATGTAAATTGGTTTGATATTGGTGGTCAAAAAACATTAAAATTAAAACTTGTGCAATCTGTTGAATGGCCTTTAAAACATCCTGAAGTCTTTACAAGACTTGGTATTGTACCTCCTAAAGGAGTTTTAATGTTTGGTCCACCAGGGTGTTCTAAAACAATGATTGCAAAAGCATTAGCCACTGAAAGTAAATTAAATTTTCTCAATATTAAGGTGATTGATTAGATAGATACATTGTATAGAAATATTGTTTGTATTTATATCTAATTTATAAATTAATATTAATATAGTAAATAATTGAATATAATTAATAAATATTTTAGGGTCCAGAACTGTTTTCTAAATGGGTTGGTGAATCAGAAAAAGCTGTGAGAGAACTATTTAGGAAAGCACGACAAGTAGCACCATCTATCATATTTATTGATGAGCTTGATGCTTTAGGTGTGGAAAGAAGCACTTCTTCAAATAGTGCAGGTAGCAGTGTGCAAGAAAGAGTTTTAGCACAACTACTAACTGAACTAGATGGAGTTACGGCTCTTGGAAATGTAACATTAGTAGCTGCAACAAATCGGCCTGACAGAATAGATAAAGTATATAATCTCATAGTATATTATGTGATATTGCCAATTTAAATTGATTTGTAAAAATGGATTTAGAAAAATTGTAAAAAAGAAATTTTTATGTACTTAAAAATGAACATATTTTTGTTTAATTAGGCACTGCTTCGACCAGGACGTTTTGACAGACTAATTTATGTTCCATTACCAGATTCTGAAAGTAGATTAGAGATTTTTAATATAAAATTAGGCAAAATGCCTATATGTAAAGATGTAAATTTAAAAGATTTAGTTGATTTAACAGAAGGCTACTCTGGGGCAGAAATACAAGCAATTTGCCATGAAGCTGGTATGAGGGCATTAGAAGAAGATATTAATGCAGCAGAAATTACAAAAGAACATTTTAAAATAGCTTTGTCAATTGTAGTTCCAAGAACTCATCCAGATGTAATCAAAATTTATAGTGATTATATACACATGTCACAGTAAATAATATTAATTATCTTGTATATTTTTAATGTTACATGAATGAAAAGTGCATTTACAATTTATAGATATATAATTTTTTAGTTAAAACAAGAATAATAGATAAAATGTGTACTTAGACTTTAAAGTAAATATATATTTAATTATTTTTATAACAACTGTAAATAAAGAATCTTTGTAATAAAACAAATATTATCATATATATTTATTTATAATTAAGACATAATCTATTTTTGATAGTTCATGTTTACATTTTTCCCAAGAATTACATTTAAATGCAAGGTCTACATCTTTATTACTAAAAAATTATAATCTTTTATATGATTTGAATTAATTCATCTTAACGATATTATGAGACATTAATTAATTAAATAATCTTAGAACATTAAAATTTTAATAAAAATAATTTTCGTTTGTTTTTTATAGTTAATATCCTGAAAAGTTTGGATTCATTCAACCTCAAAATTTTTAAGTACTTTTAATAATTTTAAAATCTTTAAAAAAATGTCTGTGCTTGTAAAATGCGAAAAAGCAAGTATAATTCCAATAAATAAAACTACAATGGAAAAGTACATTTATATTAATTTTTTTAAATTCATTTTATTGAAACTAAATACATTAAAGTAAATGATTTCAATCCTTAGACAAAATTCCAATCATTCAAAGACAGAAACTTGTGTAAAAACTTGTTCTCTACCTTCTCAACAATTTATGTAAGGATTTTAAAAAATTATAAATTATATTGTTACAAATATATATGTATGTAAATTTACTAATTAAATTATTTTTCTTTACTTTATCAATTACAGACAAATTCTTCCATGTTCAAATGCCTTAGTTCAATGTACAATGGTTCAAGGTGGTTGTAAATGGAATGGAGTTAGAAATATACATTATATTCCTATATTAACATCATGCTGCTCAACTCTATGTTATAATACATTTCCTTAATGCTATTAATTTTGTAAATGAAATATTTATTTCATTGAGTATTAACAAATAATATTGCAAATATATTAATTTATAAATTTTTAAGCCAATTGACTTCAAATGTTTATTTTCAAAGATAATCATATGTAATGAATATTTTTGTTTATTAATAAATATTATTACTTGATTGAAGATTTTATCAGTGATAACAACTTTTTATTGTCTATATTTGAAAATATTTTAATCAAAATAATATTTTTTTGATAGTTGTGTTAATTTTTGTATTTGAAATGTTTATAAATTTATAAAAATTGAATCTTTATGCATTATTCAGTTCATTATATATATATATATACGTATCGTACTGGTCAAATTATTATTTTATGTTTCGCGGGATTCATCCGTAATAAGGAATATCAGAAATGAACTAGTAGAATTTCATTTTATTCCTGGTTATGAAATATGAAGGAGACATAAAAATTACATACATGTTCTTTGCTTAGGATGTACTCAATCGCGAGGAGATTAGTCGTGTAATAATTATTTTCATGTATATACAATGATTTATTTATAAAATTTTTAATATTTTTTCTAAAAATGGAAATTTTATGGAATAAAATTAATTTACCTCGTCCACCTTATCGGTCATGGGAAATTTCTGTAGCAGAATTCAGTAAATATATATAATCAATCTAACCTATAAATATCCAAATACAATAATAATTTTAGTTAAAATAAAATTATTGATGTTATTTACAAAAAATTATAATGAATTATTTAAATTACATTGTTTGTATATTGTTTCCATATATATATATATAGACCAATAATATATATATATATATATATATATATATATATATATATATATACATAAAAATAAAAATTATAACATTGGTTTTGGATATTTAAAATATTTTTTTATTTAATTTTGTAAAAGTTATGCATTGGATTTTATATTATTTAGATACAACAAGATTTATTGAAGTCATAAAGATCACGTTAAATGATTTTAAAATATTTGCAATATTAAATAAAGAAGCAGCGCTTCTTAGTCGTTTAATTTATCGTATGAAAAGTAAATTTAGACATGATAAAGGATTTAAATATATGGAAAAAGTGAATCGAGCATTATTAAATTATTTAACTATGTCATTTGAAAAAGAATATGAACTATTAAATGAGTATACAGAATCAAATAATGATAAAATTTCTTTGCCTTCAAAACAAATTATTCAATATATTTTAGTAAAAACGCAAGGACTTGCAAAATTAATGTGTTATATTCAATCAACTGCATTGGCAGCTGGAAATATTTTAAAATCAAGAATACATGTAGGTCAATTATGGTCTGTTGCCTTAATTGCTTATGCAATTATTAGTAGAATATGGTATTATTATTTCATTAATATTTTATATATAATAAGTAAAATAATAAACTACGCTTATCTTTTATATTGATATTTAAGTTTGATTCTAGGATAATATCACGATATATAGTAAGAAAATTATGTCTGTGGTATAAAAATATTTATAATTACTCTAACATTTTTAAAACAGTTGGAATACCTTGGTTACCAGATGATTATGTATTACCTGAAAATTTATCAAATTGGCTAAATTTAACATGGCTTAATGATGATATAGAAATGTATACATTTTTATATATTTTTTCATATAATTTTTATATATATGTAAGATTTATAGAAAAAATTATAAAGCTTAAATGCTTTATAAATATTTTTATAGGTTGTCAATAAAAAAAAAACAGAAAAAATCAATTTTTGATTTAATTGAAGTGAATAATTCAGTGGAGTCAAGTTCAGCTATTATTGATAATTTTGTTATTAAAAATTCAAGTAAAGAAGAAAGTAAATCTAATGTGTGTCAAAGTGCAATAATATCTCATGAGAATGATTTAGGAAGTAAGCTACTTTTTGTTAAGTATAACTTTAAAATAGAAATGTATAAAATTTGTATGATAAATATTTTTAATACTTTTTTTAGAACCAATAAGTCGAATTAGTTTTGGCAAATCTAGCTGCACTTCTACTAGTAATAATTGTATTAAAAAAGGAAAGACAAATATTATTAATGCATCAAAATTACTTAATATAAAGACAGAAAAAGATTTAGTGCGCTTATTAAAAAAAGAATCTTTTCCTGGCTTTGATAAATTACAATGGAATATGTTTCAAAATCATTTGAAGAAATTTTTAAATAGATCTATCAAAGATAATATAAAAGATACAGATGTACCATTGTCTAAAAGAGTTATTAAACAAATTCTTAAATGGATAAATAAGTCGTAAACACTTTTTAGATTTTATATTTACATATAATATTATATATGTTATATTATATATAATATATATAATAAAAATATAAGTTTTATATATGATATAATAATATATTATTATTATCTATAAATTAATAATTTAATCAGTTATGTTTCCAAGTAGAAAATCGGTGAAAAATATTTCAATGATATGTAAACAAGCTTTTGAATATTTCTGATAATCCTTTAATCATGTATAATTGGATTAAATAAATAGAGATAAATGTTTTAATCCATCTAGTGTATGGTTTCATAAACAGAAATGAAATGTATAAGTGATAAATTATTGTAAGAAAAATAAACTTATAAATTTAATAAAAGTGTTCTATAGTGGTTTTTTTTTTAAATACTAACAGAATTTTATTTTTCAAATATTAAGTTATTTGTTTTCAAACCAATTAAATATAAGATGATTATTCTAAATAATAATAAAAATTCCACTTTTAAGAAAAAGAAATATATTTAATTTTTTTCTTCATAACAAATAGTAATTAGACCATATTTCTAAACCATAATAAGTAGTAGATATGCTCATTATTTTTAGTCATTATGTAGTATTAGCATTTTTTAATTAGTTTTTACATATTATACTCAAAATTTTTTAAATATTCTTCACCACTATAAATTTTAATTATCCTTATTAATTAACGTAAATTACATTTGTTGTTTTATTGTTTTACTTGTAAAATAATGCATAATTACATAAAATATTTAAAATTGTATTATTTAAAAGTATATATTTTGATTAAATGTATGATTGATTTTATACCTAATTTTTTTCAAAAAAATTTAATGTTATTTTCTTTTAATTTTTTTCACAAAAATAAGTTAACATTACTTTAAATTTAAATGTTTCATAATCCTTATCTCAAGCATAATTATTTCTATTAAAAAATTTGTCCACTTATTTTGATATAAATAAATACTATAATCTTATTTGTTTAAAGGTAATATAATAAATCATATATTTTTACTCAATAATTAGTAGTAAACATATTTGTATATTATATATCATTTAAAAGAATTCTTTAAAAAATATCTATTCTTATTTAAATAATTTATTATGATCCTTAGTAATTGAAAATTTACAGTTTTCTTATTAATATTATTTAGTATATATTATTATTATAATTTAACTCTGAAAAAAAGAAATATGAATTGTTTGCCTTTTAGTACACACTCATTGAAAATAAATTTTGTAACAATTCTCTCTCATTCTTTAGTAATTATTATTATTTATCATAATTTATTATTTATCACTACTGAAGTATAATAATTGTTTTAATAATTAATGTAATTTTAAAATTACAAGAAATCTAAAAATTTAATATAAACAATTATAAAATTTTATATAGAATATTTTTAATCAATAAATAAAAATTAAATTTGGTTCGTGATATATTTAGCCTCGTTTTTTTGTACCTACGTATTTATTACGTAATAGTTACTTTTGAACTTGTAAACGAGTAACTTCAAGATAAAAAACAATAACAAATGAAGCTTTCAAAAACATTGCTAATATTTAAAATTAATAAAAAATTAAAAATAAAATAAGCATTAAAAACAAAACCTTAATAAATAATAATGTAGAAATTACATCAATTTTTTAATTGGAATAGGTCAACAATTTCACATACTATAATATTTCTGAGCGTCTCTATATTTAGAAGCTTGTTCTATCTGTTTATTTAAAATACTAAGGGCACCAAAAATTAAAAAAAAGTTTTATATATTATTATTTATGTATTTATTTAATATTATATTATAGTTTTATTAAAGATATTTTTCAATATTATTTTTTCATGACTCAATTGTCTATCTTCAGCTATATTTCAGCTAGAGTTCAGTACCCAGAACTTGTTATAATTATCATACAATTACATGAAAAATTCACAGTCATGTGACCATAAATAATTTAGCTATAATAATTGTTATGGCTGTAATTTAAAACTCAATTAACTTATTATACTATTAATAGTAAATATTTTATAATAAAAATTATTAACGGATACATTATGCACTGAGTTAACTGCAAATGAAGTTTTCATTGGTCAAGGTAATAAAGAAACATTATTTGCATTTTAAACCTTTTTTTTTTATTTTTATTCACTAATTAAAAATAAATTTACAAAAACGCTTTTATTGAAGATTCATTTTTTTAAGATTGTTTTTTTTTAATTCATAAGAAATTCATTTAACATTTTATAAAATCTTAATTTATATTGATTTATCAAAGAAGTTTAAACTCTAAAGTACATAATTTCATAAAAACTTTGTAATTTACTTAAAAATCTGATTATAATTATTAAAATTCAATAAGATAATTAATGTAAATTTTCTTGAAATATTGCTAGTATATAGCAATGATTACATATTATATACATATTTTATTAATCACTATGAAAATATCAAATGATTCAAATTATAATCTTTCGATTTCCAAATATATAATAACTATAATTGGTTTAATTAATAAATCAAGTGTTAGCGCAAAAATAGAAATCTATTCAATATAAAACGTAAGAATTTAATTAGAATAAAAATGAATGTATACTTTCGTCTCATTTTATTCTACTTTTTATTGCATGTTATTAATATCGAATGAAATGTAATTTATTCCGAGAGAACTATTATCTATGTAATCTAATAAATTATATAATAGTTGAATTTTTACAGCTGTTATCAATTTTAATTAAAAAAAAATACAAGATTTAATATAAAATTATTTCTTTTGTCCATGTAAAAATTATTTTTACAATTAAACAAATTTCATTTTTGAACATACTTACAATTTTGTTAAAAAAGTATTAGTTACAAAAAAATAAATAACAATAAATAATAAAATAATGTTGTAATTTAATCTACAAAGTTAATTAATAGTCGACGTAAAACATTGTATGGTTTAATGTAATTAAGTAATCTTATTTATGAATAATTTTTTAATTAAAATTTTATTGTTTCAAGTATTTCTTAAAGAACTCGTTTTTTCTTTAATAAAATAAACAACTAAACATTCTTAATATCTCAATATTTTCATACGACAACTAACTTTAAAAGTTTGAAATATAAAATAGAGTAATTTTTTTAATAATATATTATTAACAAAAATTTCCTTACAAATGACAGATAAACAAGTATTTAATAACAGTTTATACATACTAGTTTTTTTCAGTCATACTCGTTTATTTAAAATAAAAAATAATAGCAATTAAACTTTATATCGATGTCTTTTTTGTTATAATATTTTCAATGTATCACTCAGTATAAATTACACACGTACAAAATTTAATTTCTTGCGATATAGATTCAATATGCAAATGAACATGATTTAATTATGAATATTATAATCTTATTCCATTCTAAAATGGCTCTTTATAAGTCGACCTATAAGGTGAAGCGCTCTAAATGTTTTATTCGGTCTTAAACGCTGTCTTAATAAGTAATATGTTAATGTCCTAAATGCGAGTAAAATAATGACAAGAGCTACGAAGTCAACCCAAAAGACGATTTTCTCCATACCTACAAACAGAAATAAAAATTACATATTAAGTATGAAAATAAATTAATTTATAAGTTAATAATATTATTTAAACAAAATAAATAACAAAAATATATTTATTTGTTTAAGAAAATATTCGTATATAAACTATAATAAAATTGTGTATATAACTAGTTGTATAATTAAATTATTTATTGACTTGAATTACAACGATCGAATTAAATATTTATCCAATTTAGTATCATTGATGTGACAGTATACTTCAGTCAATTACTTTAAAAATCAATTATTTTAAAATTTTTAACTTTATATTAAGAATACCAACGTTATGTATAAGATAAGAAGAAATATTTTTATAAGTAGTATAAAAGTGCGTAAGCTAATTACCCATGCTACGAAGAAGCTGACGCGGGACAGCATAATGGCAGTAGAACATCTCTCCTTCAGGACAAGGCAATTTACCACGGTTATATCCGTATGTTGCAACAATAAGTCCTTCCAACCCATAGCGTATGTAACTAACGTACATGATGATTTGCCGGTAGATTGGCAAGGGCGCCTCGTCACCGATGCCTTGTACTGCAAATAGCATAAGAGGCACAGTCATGGCCGGCCCCACGAACATTCCATTCTGAAATGTGTGATGGTTTTTAATATTATTGCAGTAAAAGCTTTACATTTATCGTCATTTGCATTATAACATTCATTTTAAACAAGGCCGTACATGAACATTGCAACTGAACGATCAATTATAATGTAAAATAAAAATAGCAATTTGAACACTTTGCAGGAACTTTATTTTTGTAGTTATTAAATCTTATCAATCCGATTCAATATAAAATTCTAGATAATTATATATTATGCCTTATATTAAAAATATGAAGAACATTAATATAAAAGATTCATTTAACGATTGTGTTAAAATTACGTAGGAATATACTATTTTATATTTAAAAAGCGAAGGAATGAATACTTCAGTAATATTACTATATTACTTAATATTAAGTTTGTGTTAAAATTCTAGAAAAAAAAAAGAAAAACCAAATTTTTATATTAATAGGGTTGTTTATAAATTATATACATTATTCTTCTATAGAAATTTTATTTGTAAAAATAAGTATAAAAGTAAATTTAATATTGATTTTATTATATAATATAACTTTTCATTTCATATAACATTGAGCAAAATCAGTTTAAATTTACGTAAATAATAATTAATTTTACTTTTAATGTAACTGAAATTTGTAAATATTATAATTAAAAAGTACATAGTATAAAATAATCAGTAATAACATTTACAATAAAAAAATATTTAATATTGTATAGAATGATTAATGATAAAATTTACAATAAAAAATTAATCATGCATTTTCTAAACAGAATAATATATTATTTTCCTTGTTTTATTTGACATTTTAAATTGATTTGAATTAATTATATATAATGAAAAAATATTAATATTCTTATTTATTAAAATTTATCTGTTAAATTATAAATCATAGTTAATATATAAATCTCTAATAGATGAATAGAAATTGCAAAAATTAGTACTGTTAGGATGCATTTCCAGATAAAATATTATGCATACAACATTATATTAATGTTATTTCATTCTTTTCCGATCTTATATTTTGCAATTGGCAGAATAGAAATAGAACGTAAATTGCTTACAAATGACTGATTAAATATAAATAAATACTTTTTTTCAGTTATATAAAAAGCGTAACAAGTAATGCTACTTATTAGCAGATGAACATCAATTGAATCTCGCTATAATTGAAAATAATAATTATCATTTAATAATTATATATTTTCTGCTTTCTGTGAATCGACTACATATTATTTTATATTGATGTTAGTTTAATGGTATAAAATAGTTTTTATATGAATAATTTTGCAATAAATTTTATTATTTAAAATTAAATCCAATAATTAAAAATTTTAAACACTTATTGTTTTAATATTAGTTACTAATTATTGTGCTTATTATTTTAAATAATAATAAGAACAGATATCTTTAAATATTATAATTTATTATAATTTAATCAAATTAAATAATATGATTAAAATCGTACCACAATACTTAAAGTACTAGCAACGGCTAGTCCCATACTTTCCGCTATCAAGGCACAGACCATACACGTACTAATAAACATGGCAAATCTGTAGAATTCCATTGGTTGACTAGTGATTGGGTAAACCATCAATAAATAGAGGATACATAAAATAAGCTAAAAATATATGAATATAATTGTAATATTTTGCACATTTATACTAAAAAATATTAATTTAATATTTATATTATGTATAAATCGAAACTTTTAGTAAAATCAAATATTCTGTTATAACGTTTAAGAAAATCTGGTATTATACATATGTTAATGAAATGATTGAACATGGTTTTAATATTAATTGATAGTTAAATACACTATAAAAACATTTTCAATAATTAAATTTATAATTATTTCTTTAGAGGTAATAAAATACAAATGCTATCTGTAGTGCGTACTCACTTGCGCAGGAATATTGGATATAGTTAAGGCACAGAAATATGGCCCAAGGTCGTACCAACGATTAAAATGCTCACGTTTAACAAGTTGAACCTCTTGGGGAACTAAAATACAATGAAAAATATATTCTGCGTACATCTTTATTATTTAATTTAAGAAACGCTCGAGATAAAGTAAACGAGATAGCAATAATGTTATAGGACTCGATACGACTGTTTTTGTCAACGTACAATGTAACAACACAGGCAGCATAGGAATGTAGAGAAATACGATGAGACAAGTAAAGCAGAAACCGAAATTAAAAAGAGTCTTGGATCCATCATTGCCAATATCAAGAAACAGTCCTCCAATTATGACACCCAAAAATATGTGTAACGAGATCTTTAAATACATGTAGTTCTGTAAATAATTATAGAGCATGAATTAAACTTCCATATGATCAATATTTATTCTATTTATATTTTATAAATAAAAAAAGAAATAATAAAGATTTTTAAAACTGTATGATTTACAAAGTGTAGTTGTTGGATATAGATTAAGAAGGAAAAAAGAACATTTTATTAAATAATGTAACCTTTACCCTATCGCGATAAAATTGAAGCATTTTCCTTCGTAGTAGGATTGTGAATTGTTCCCACCACGAAATCTTTGCTATCTCTTTTGAAAACTTGTATCCATCAGGACTCATTTGATTAACAAGTCCAATAGGAAATTTCATATCAATTTTAGAGATCATTTTGTCAACAAGCTCATGTCCATATTCCCCTGATGATACTTCTACAACTGCAAATGAAGTTATTTATTAATTTTAATTATAAAGTGTAACAAAATTCTTTTAAATTATACATCAATTATTTTAGTCAATATTTGAAATGGAAAATTTAATTTGATTTCGGTTTTCTACTTTGATCATTTATTATCTATGTATATATATATATATATATATATATATATAAATTTAATTATTTATTATAATAGTTACTACAACAAAAAATATACAATAAATCTTTTAAAATAATATATATAAATTATAGCTATAATTTATATATAATAACATTGGCATATGATACTATCAATAAGACTATTAAATATTAAATTCAATAAACTGATCATTTTAAATATAATGTTATATAACAAACGATATAATGAATAAATTATATTCAATATTTTTTAATTTGATATTTTCATTATTTATAAATTTATATAAAGAAGAAACTAAATTAAGTTTTCGATACAAGAATAGTGCATTTTTCGTTTAAAATATTTGTATTCCATACAATAATCTTTTTTACGAATTGAATGAATATAATTTTTCCTGTGAATAAAAAATAAAATTAATAGCTTATATAAAGACTTACTAAAATCTGCAGGATTATAATGTTTTGGGCAGTCGATTCCTACATGATGCAAAAATGGAACGACATCATTTACTAGGCCTCGAAACGCACACTGACCAGCAGTGACTACATAAATGTGATGAAATTTGGCAAATATACTGGCGCTAGGTGTGTGTATCGAACAAATTACCGTACGACCGCTTAATGCCACCCTTTGTAAAAGATCTATGCATTGAACTGATGACATTTCATCAAGTCCACTGAAATAAATAAATTATTATAAATTACATATAATATACAATGACACGTTATATTTCATAAGGAAAATGTCGAATGCCTGTAAATATATTGGCTAAATCGTTCAAATATATAAATCTATAATTATTAATCTGTATAACTTGTGTAAATACTTGTTTTTAATGACACTCATTTATAATTGAGTTTATTCAATGAGAAGCATGAATAGTGCATGATATAATCTTCTGTTACTACAAATGTATTCTGATCATAAATCATTTTTAATTTTCATTTGAGTATTCGTAATTAGTTTTTATCTGGTATTTTCATAAAAAAATACTCTTTCATATTCAACTTCGACTATGTAATATATAAAATAAAATTTTTATTATAGACGTACATAATTTATTTATATTAATTTGTAATGTATGCTATTTAGTAATAACATATAGATATAGTTTTATGGAGTTGCAATGTAACGTTAATTAATATTGTTAAATTAAATCTCTATATCATTATATTTGAAGAGATACAATATAAATGAAAATTATTAATATAAAGATTCATCTAAAATTAAAAGAAATAGAAATAATCTGAATTATAAAAGTATTAACATAATTTGAATAATTTAAGCAGATGAAAGGCGAACATAAAATTTTTCACCTGAAAACCAAACTTACATCTTTCATGCAAGTTTTTTCAATTTTATTATTATTTAATCAATGTTAATATATATTTTCAATTCAAGAATTTAAAAAAACATGTTAATACACATTTGTTTATGGGAGTAGGAGAAGAGCGGAAGAGAGAAAGTACGTATGTTATTTTGAAACCTTGTTTCAGAATTATTACTATTATTTCATTAATCTTGTTTTATATGCAATTAGTGCTTATTTTTAGAAACAATTTTTTATTTTTGATAATATTTTACGTAATTAATTTAATTAAGTTTAAGTAATTTTAATAAATATTTATTGATCTTTTGCGAATCGTATCATTTAAAGAGACATAACGGACCTTCATCTACTCAGCTTTATAACTCACAAACTCGACTTTGCTCCAAAAAGAGTTGGATTTACTTCTTACCACTTATTTTCTCTCTCTCTCTCTCTCTCTCTCTCTCTCGTGTATTCCCCCTCCCTTTCACTCTTTTCATCACGGTTTTGTTTTCTCTTTTTTCCACATTTCATTTTCGTAATCGCATTTTACTCTTATTTTATTTTCTTCTTATCTGTTTCTTTAATTTTACACAAGTCTGGTTTTTACCATAACGGGTCCACCCACTTTTCGAGATTATTTAAATGTAAAGTGCTCTCCTAGAATATTTAGTATTTTATTAATATATTTTGTTAAAATCTGTATTGAAATAATCCTAATTATTTTCTATAAATACGATAAGACTAATAATAATTATACTAGAACGGTAAATAAAACAATCTACACAAAATATGAAATTGAAATATTAATATTGAATGTTGAATATTTAATTAACTATTGAATATTATATAATTATTGAGTAGCTTTTATTTGTGGATAAAGTTTTATGAAATTAAAAATATTTATTTAATTAATTCATTAAATTCATTAAGTCACTTATTTTACATTTATTATATGAATACAGTGTACTGTTTGTTCTGTAATTAAATTTATTAATACAAATATATATATAATTGTAACGCATTATACATACGTCGTTGGTTCATCTAGAAATATAACTGGTGGATTGTTTACAAGTTCTAATGCTATGGACAATCTTTTCCTCTCACCGCCAGATAATCTTTCTGTCATAGTGGTCCTCGTACTATTTAATCGAAGCATATCTAAAATTTCGCATACCTAAAAATATCAACTTTTAATATACGCATTTATTAATTTTATATTGTTTATTTAGTAAAAAATTTTTATTCGTTGAAAAATAAATATATTTATTAAATATTAATTGTAAATGTTGTTTGATAGTATAAAAAGCATTATATCGTTATTAATACAGATAATAATAATATTGATTAATGAAACTACAATTTGAATGAACTTATTTTAAATAAAAAATAATTATTTATAATTTTATGCATAAAAGAATTTATAATAAATTCGTCGAATTTTGAATATATTAAGCATATATATAGTAAAATTGTATTCAATCGAATTTCATTAAATTCCATTTATTACAAAATTATGAATACAACAGTATAACAATAGTGCATTAGTTATATTTTAAGAAGTTTGATGTAATTAAAATTTCATTAGTAATATATTTAATGTGATTAATTTGATATATTTTAATTGATATATTTATTGTTAGATTATAAACCAAATCGATTAGAATATATAGAAGTAAAAATGATTTATTATAATATATATTTATTTTATATAACATGAATAATTTAAAATATGTAAAATATATTATGAAAATGAATATTCTCGGATGTATATGGAAGAACGACAATTAATTCTATTAATTGATTATTTATTAAATATATAAATTTATTAATTAAATATCAATTAATTATTTAAAAATAAACGAAATTTGTTATGCTATATAGATGACAAGAATGTATTAATTTGTTTCATTGTAAAAACATACATAGAAACAATTTGTGTAAGCTAATTTCTTATAAGTTAAATTAATTTTTAACAATTTCAATATATTTAACAAATTAAAAAATATAATTTGTAAATTTTATAAATATATAATACTTAAGCTATTAGTAAGATATTAATTATTATTTATTGATCATTATAATTTTAAAAAATAAAAATAAAGAACAAGATAAGCTACTATAATAAATTTGATTTCTTATGAACATATAAGTTTCTCTTGCTCTGGCCTTTTTAACTATATTTTATGTTTTTAATAAGATGATACTGTATGTTTATTTATTTCATTGTGTTATTAACTATTCAAAATATTTATTTATTATTTTTAGTACATAAATGCATAGTATATAACTATATTATCTGCAAGTAAAGTATGTTTTGATATTTAATATTATTGAAATAAAATAATTATTGGGGTTTATAAATAGAAACTAGTGGGTTACTAATCTAACCCGAGACCTTCTGTTTTTATGATGACCGTCACCCTTCTATCTGAGCTAACGATGAGACGTGCTTTTCTTTATTTAAATCGTCTTTATATCATAATTGTCGAGACGCTCAAAATCAGAATTAAACACCATCACGGTTCACAAACGTGAACATTTAACAGCATTTTTGAATTAATAATAATTTATGAAAATATATTTACTAAACGTGTTACATTTTTGTTGTAATAATATAAAAATATAAAAAATTGCTTTTATTTTGTAATTATAAAAGTTTGTGTATACCTATTTAAAATTTCAATATAGCAACATAAATGTATTAGAATTGTTTAATTTTTCATGGATGTAAAATTAAGTTTTCCAAATCAGTAGATAAATTATACAAAGATAGATAAATATATATAAATTATATTTTAAAAACTATTTAAGATATTTATCAGTAATAATTTTTCTAAATTTTTTTATTTAATAAAAATTATTACATTAAATTAAAACTTAAATAAAGCAGTATTTCTTTGGATTATTACATTTTTTATATAATTTTAAGATTAGTTATCGTCATTATATAACTGGATATGTAAAGGAAAATAAGATTATTTAAATGAAGTATAAATATATATGTATAAATACAATAATTTTAAAATTATGTTGATAGAACTACATGGTATTCAATATATTAACAATATGGAAAATATAATTATAGAAAATAATATAAATTGATACTAGTGCAATTTAAATAAGTATATCGTATTTTAATTAAAATAGAATTATACTACATTGTATTATTAGGGTCTAGTATTTTAATTTAGATTTACATTTCGAAATTTTAAAAATAACTGTTATCTTTGAAGAATCTATTCTTAAATAAAATTATAATGTATTCATTTTTAATAAATTAAAAAATACAGAAACATATACTTGAAGTTTCAGAATGAATGTACTAAAATAAAAAGATAATTAAGATCTGAAATTATTAAGGAATTTTTTAGACAATCAGGATACCCTATATTATGTATAAATAAATTACAAAGTATAAATCTAAAAAAATAATCTATATACTTAAAAATATATAATTTATAAATATCTATAAATATTGATAAAAAAAAATCGTGGTCATCATTATATCTGTGTGTACATGTGCGTATACCTCATCTCATATGGAATCCAATTTACTTTGGAATAACATTTATTTACGAAATTTACTTTTGATCCTTCATTATCATATAAGTATGAGTACAGCATTGAATGGAAAAAATATGTTATTTTAAAGTACAACGCTTTTAACGTTATAAATAACTATGCATATTTGACAAAGAACTTTATTTAAAAATGCTATAATATACATTGTAATTGTTATAAGAAAATATTAAAGAAACATATTACTATAATTTTCTTTATACATATTAAAATAATATATTAAATAATTATTGATTTAATATCAGATTATTCTTATAAAATTGAAGCTTCAAATTTAATAGTATTTTCGTAATTTTCAAAAATTATAAGAATCAATTCAAAATCAGTTAAAAGAGTATATACTAATTGTTTAAAATTAAACTAGTTCAAAATAAAAATATTTAACTTATCTAGTATTTAATAATATCACCATTTTCTGTACGTACAAGTATATATTCAATAGTGAAATTCATTATAAACTAATGAATGCGTGTATAGTCGCATTGTAATTATCTGCATTGGACCTATTACTGCGAAATAGACATTTCAAAGTTTTAATAAAATAACAATTTTGTAGATTGACCATCGAAACTACTTTTTTTTCAATTTAATATTAAAAAAACTGTAAAAATGAATTTATATATAAAGTATAGTATTCAATATATTTTTATATAATGTTTCGAAAAATATGATATGAAATTTTTTTAGTTATCAAACAACTTTTATAACTAATGAACATAACTGAATTATGCAGTATTTCAATATTATATTACTAAGTTTTGTATGATTAAGAATGTTTAAATTTCTATTTTAATGATATATTGTTAATTTAATAATATGAACGCAAATTTATATTAAAATATTACATTCCTTCATTTTATAATTTCTTATAAGATGTTAAAAAATTTATTATTATATAAATTTTTTAACGTTGCTTCTATATATTTTAATTAAATAAATTATGTTTGATATTACACAATGAGCAGCGATGACGAATAAATCGTATATAATAAAAGTAAAAGATACAAATCGAAGAAAACTATAGTAATCATATTGGTTTAAAATTTTTTAAACCAATTACTAGAAGTCGTATTAAAAAATTATGAAATTGCAAATTTAATATTAATTTATATATGTGTACAATATCCAATTTTCTTTGAAATGCAGTTTAGTATCTATCTGAAAATTTTTATTTAATATTTTTGTTTTAGATGTATTCAATTGTTGCTTGTTTCATATATAAGAAGTTAGTGAATTACATGTAGAAATACTTCTTAATTATTCAACTTATGCATCAATTGATTATTGAATAATATTAATTCCAAGATATTCAAATTTTTGCGTTTTAAAATCAAAATAGACTAATAGAATTAATAATAAGCATTATTGTACGTGTGTTGATCAATCTAAGTTTGTTATTTATACAATTCAAGATTAAAATTTATATATTTTTACAGTTTTAATAAAAAACATTCAGAACGGATATATGATTATAAAAAGGTAATTAGTATACATTTGTGCAAAATAATTTTATTCAAGCAAAAGCCGGTTAATAATAATTGAATAATAAGCCGATTATTTTTTAAAATTAAAAAATTGAATAATTGAAATTTTTGTTAAATTCTATACGAACTGTCTCGCCATTTTAATCGATAAATGTCTTACGTTAATGTAAATTAAGTGTTTGATTAATTATTTTAATAATTCTACATAAGTATTAAATATATACTTTTTTATATGCAACAGTATTTAAATTGTTAATTAAATGCATTTACAAATTATATTCACGTTTTTATTTATTATTAATTATTTCCTATTTTTAATTAATAAAAATCTTAATATTCAAAATCGTTATTAATTAAAATTTGTAATATTTATTAAATTTTTGACATAATACCAAATTATATAGAATACATGATTGAATAATTTAAATCATTCACATTACGAATTGTTTTATTGATAAAATATTATATAGTTTAACACAGCAAATACTATACATTATGTTTTAATTTTTCATTATAATCGGTAAAAATATATTAAATTACAAACATTGAATTATATTATCAAATGAAGTATTAAATTTTATATTAAGAAATACTGTTTTATATTTTATATTTTAAAAACATTTAATATATCCTGTATGTAGAAAACTATATGATATGAATATACCGTAAGTGAAATTAAATTCTTGATAAATAAAATTACTTGTCGCTCAGTATATAATTAAGTCTCAATGTTAACGTTTTTATTTTTTAGAATTATAATAATGTTTTTATTTACGGGCATTTGCTTTTTTATATTTCTATATTAAAATAATTTCATTTCATTATATAAAACAAATTGTCCCAACTTTTTTTGAAAACATAACTTTTCATTTCGAAATTATAAAAGCAATAGTAGTGATTTAGTATATTCGTAAAAAATAAAACTTACAATAGCGAATCGGTTTGCTGCATTAATTTTACTTCCGAGTTTCAGATCGGCTGCAAAGCACATCGCTTCGAGTACAGTAAGTTTAGGTTGCACAAGATCCTCCTGCATAATGTAACAGGATGAGCGCTTGAATTCTTTCAAGTCTCGTGGTTGACCATTTATATTAATAAGTCCTGAAGCTCCTTCGCATCTGACAAATTTAAGAACAAATATAAATCATCACTTTTATTTAGTTACATAGATTATAAATTCTTTAATTTTTAATTAATGTATGATGGCATTCTTTGTTAAAAAGTTCATTAAAACTTATTTCTTTTAAATAAACATGAAAATCAATGAACATGAAAATTATTTTACATGATTGTTAATATAAGATGAATCTAATTTTTATTCGATTTTATTAATATTTTTTAGTCAATGTAAACTTTGTTTTAATATTGATAACAAAATTCTTATTCTACTACAATTCAAAATATATATTAGCATTCACTAACACTTAGCTCAACGGTAATACATACACGACTTAATAAAAGTATACAATGCAAATGAATGCAGTGTTTTAATATAAATAGGTAATGTTGTGCATTATTGAGACAATAGAAAAATTTATATACAATTATTTTGATGTCTAAAACAATTATTAAAAATAGAGTTTTATGAAATAATAATTTCATTAAGAATGGTTTTTATGGATTGTGAATTCTATATAAATATACAGTAAATGTGTAACATGATAAATAATTTCATTGTTTTTTATTAACATTTTTTAGAAGGTTTATTAGTTTGTTTTGTTTTCTATAAGATATTTGTATAAATATAAAAAGCAACTTTAAATTTATTCACGTGTAAATATATATAAAAATAGGTATATTAAATTGAATCGTATTTGAATTGTAATCCATCTATTTTAAATATTATATAATTATAGAAGCAATTTTTACATAATTTATTTATGAAATAAATTCTATATTTTTATATTGTTTATAAAAATTTATAAGTTTTTTATCAACTATAAAATAAATATGAATCATTGGTATGCAATACTTTCAAAATATAATTTTTAGCCTGAATTTGTTCATTCAACTAGAATATTTTCATCTCAGGAATTATAATTTATCTTTTAAGATGGCAGAAAAATAATTTAACGAAAGCAAATTACGTTTAATTTAAGATAATACTTTATATAGATTACAGAGCAAAGATTACTTATTCATATAACAAAAATATATACTAGCAACCATTAGCAAAATAATATAGGGTCAGTAATCGATAATACGGACGTCGAACATTGCAGCTTTTTGTATCATAGGTCGAACGGTCAGTGATCCCTGAAAGCGATACATATGATGCGTAGGAGGAGGCATCGTATTACTACGAATTTTGTAGACCTGCAATTGATTATAAGAATACAAAAGAATATAGAAAAATACTAGGATTTTAGAGTGTTTCAAGCGAAATATGAAGAAAATGGGATAAATTATCTCACTATTTATAGCTAAAACTTAAAAGTATGTTTCATATTCTAAATTCATTAGAAATCCAATATAAATGAGAAAATGCTTCAATGTATCAAATTTAAATTAATAAATCATAAAGTTTGTATGTTAATAAGAACAAAGTGAAAATGTAATAATAAGAATTCAATTGTGTAAAGTAAAAAGAATTTTTACGATTTACGAAGCTGCAAATATATATTGGTATACTTATTTTTTTTAATTTTTGCTAATAGCAATGTGCATGTTACAAAAGTCACACAAACTATTATCACTATTTTATTAGTTCTGTAGTATAAATTAAATGAAATAAAAACAGATTGAAAAAATTAATTCTAATCGGAACATACATTACATTGTTTGAATTCATTGTTATTACTATTAATATATAATATATACTATACTATATAATATATACATTATTTGAAAAATGTTTATTTAAAAAATAAATTATTGGTTTAACAAAATTAATCAATTGGAATCTTGAAGTTGCTTAAGAATGACGACTGAAGTAGTACAAAAAGACACTGAAATAAACGTTTGTGTATAATTAACTGTTAAACCATTGAAGTGAAAATAATGTTATAAAATTTAAACTACAATATTATAAAAATTCTTTTATTATTTAATTCTATTAACACGTATGAATTATACTCTAATACATATCAAATCTATATATTCAAATTCATTTTGTGTAATTTCGTAAAATAATTCCTTCACGTAGCCACTAACTGATAAATGATGCATAGAATATAGCCATCGTTATTCAATTATAATTAAATTAAACATTTTCATTTATAACAATCTTAGATACACATATGATTTCGTTTTATTTGAATATAGTATATTGCTTAAAAGCTATTATGAATAATTAATATTAACAAATCTGTGTAAGCTCTATAAATAGTTTCTTTAAACACTAGTTTTCACAAACTTCTGCAAAAGTAAACTTATCACATAGAATACTTGCTTTTCTATTTATTCGATTTTCTTTAATACCTCTATTTGTTTATTAATGACAGAATAATATACACAACGTGCAATTTTATTTTTAGATAAAGAAATCGTTTATTTTGAATAATCATATAGAGAGAAAAATTCAAACATAAACTAAAATATAATCCATAGCTTATTAATTTGATGATTAAATATTAATCAAGTCGCACTTTTATTATATTTAAGATGTAAAAAATTTCGTATTCTATTTAAGATAGAATTTTATTCAAATTTTTACTAGAATTAAAAAAAATTACTAAAGTAAATTTTTTAATTGAAAGTAAATTAAAAATTTATCGCATAATTTTTAAATGTTGATTTAAATACCAAATATATTGTTTATACTCTAAAAAACAAAAATAAATTATTGATATGTTATTTCTAATTATTAATAATTTATAAAGAGTTATAAACTATTCGTGTTAAAAACGTAAAACATACTCGTGTACAATTAATATTGCTCAGGTAAAAACATTTGTATGTATCTTCTGTCTTTCCTTTATTTCCGATTTTATTTTTTAATTACTGAATATATTAAAATTTTATTGAGTATATTATAATTAATATTTTGTAATGTGTAAATATTAGGATAATAATCTAATATTTTATATTAAAGATTACTTTTGTATTAAAAGATTGGTCAAAATCTTAATTATTTATATATCAAATAGATATATATTTGAATATTAGAAATATTTTTTAATATAATTTTTATCATTTAATTTAATTTCTTATTACGTGATAACACTATATTTTTATAATTTTTATCATATATATAGCAATAAAACTTGTATCAATTCGTATACAAATATTATTAGGTCTTTTCCATTATAAATCAAAATTATATGATATATAACTGATTATATAAAAACATCATATTTTGTGTTTAATCGATCAAACTTAATAAAAAATATTTAAAAATAAAATGAAATCTAACAATATTTATTTATAAGTATTGGATAGTAAATATTATAGATACATTACATATATTCTAAGTGAACTTATAATACCTATTTATGATATGACTTATGGAAATACGGGACAAGCAAAAACTTTTAATACATGCAAACTTTTAATATTTCATGGCATCTTTTTTTATTAAATCCAAAATTATTATAAATATTTCTTATTTTTTAGAATAAATTTTGATTATATTAATTAAAAATTATTCATTAAGTAAACAATAATTACATAATAGTTTCAATTGACTTAGAATTGATGCAAAATTTGTTATTTGAACTCATAATTAACATACTTGTATCCGGCTAAAATATTAAGTAGGGTAGATTTTCCAGCTCCGGATGGTCCAAGAATAGCTGTCAATTCACCAGATTTAAATTGACCATTTACACCTCTCAAAATTAACTTGGAACCTAGAATATAAAATAATATACAATAATTAACTTAAAAATGGTAATAATATTTGTTTATAGAATAAAAGAGAGAAGAGAAAGAGAGTATAATATAGATAAGTTATAATTTATTATATGGTATAATTAAATTGAAAATAATACGTTTTCACTAGGAATTTAATTTAATTGATATTAGTTTTATCATTAAAATTAGTTTTAATCAGTTTTATACTTACAATAGAATGAACCAATTTTAGCTAATACTTTTTATAAACATTTTATATTTGAGATGTACATGAATATTATTACTACAAATTATTTCTCAAAAATGTCATGAAAAATTCTACTCTAATAGTTTAAAAAGTTTTTAATTTAATTTAATTATGATTTAATTTAAATTTGCTTCCACTATTATCATTTTATATTTTATCAAATACATTTGTTATAAAAGTTAATTTTTTTACAAAACTGTCGAATACATTTACGAATAATGGTTTATATTGATTTAATATCATTCTTATAAAAAATACTCAGTTGTTCAATATCTTAATAGAGTGTGAATGAAAATAATGGTATAAAATTTATAATATAACGTTAAACACAGAAATAATAATTTTTTTAATAAAAACATATTCAATACCATTATGTTAACATAAATTTTATATAAAAAATACTAAAAATGTTATCCAATCGATTTCATATCGAAGAGTAAAAGCAAAAGTATCTTATTGAAAAAATCAAAATCTAGGTACAGTATCCTTTCACTAGAAAAAACTTTCATATGGTGACTATTGCATGATAAAATTTGTAAAATTACAGTGTGAGTTAGACCTTTACATACATGTGTATCTGATTTAAACTTTATCGCTTTTCGTTTCAAATAAAAAATTTAATTATATTGAATATTTTTATTGATTATGATATTGAATAATGCCATCGGTAATATCAATTTATATTTTGGATATGTAGAGTATTTGGATATATAAGTTTAACTGTTTAGAGTTTAGTTAAAAAGAAAATAAATTAACGGACCAAGTATACTACTTTATTTTAATATATTTATAAATATATACAAATGTATATAAAAATATTTTATCATGTTTCCATATATCTTTTGTATTTAAGTTTACAATATTCTAATAACAAACATATGATACAAGAAGAATTAATTTTCTTAATTAATTTCTTGAATAATTTAATCTACTATTTTGGTCATTATTTGAAAATTAAAATTTATTTTTCAAGTAGTTATAGTATAGTATTTTGTTAAGTCATAGTATTTTGTTTATATGGAAGCTATACGTACTTTATAACGAAATTTTTCCTATTAATCAGTCAAACTTACTTATTCAATATGTTCGTGTTTATGCAATCTTCTAAATATAGCGATAATATTTAGAATTAAAATTGAATAAAATTATGGAGTTTATGATTCTTAATCAAATAAGTTCTAATATTTATTCATTTAATACATATAATTTTAATTTAAAGTTACCTTTCTTTATATAATCTAATAATGCTTAAGATTCAATAATTTCATAATATTAAATTATTCTTAAATATTTGTAATATTGAGTATTTATTTGATTTTAAATAATTTAATTAAGTTATTGATAATATGTTTTAATATTTATTAATAAGTTAAATAATATTTACTCCATTCCTTATATATATAAACTAGAATAAAAAATTTTAAAAATAACTTTGTAATCAAAATTAGTTGAAAATATTGAAAAAAAAACTATAAAAAATAATAAATAATTTGAAATTATATTATATAAAATAATTATTTTAAATATTTTTTTAAACAAAATCATTAATAATGTATTTTTTTATTAAAATTTAATATTTTATCATACCTCTTTTTTTTAATTTATAATGCTGTAGCACCTTATTATAAGGTTTTATAAATGAAAAATCTCGGAATTTATAAAAAATTACATACCATAATTTACAATAAGCAAAGACAAGACTTGAAGAAATTATTTACGCAGTCACGTATAGCAACCTAATTTATGAGAAAGTAAGTAACATCGATTTACGAAATACTTACTTTTGAAACTTCGTATCAATTGAAAAGAGTTAAAACCTTGCTTTGGATTGCGCAGTTATATAATAATATTATGTTAAATACATAATTAAAATATACGTAATATAAATCATATTAATGTAGATGAATGAAGTTATAAACATAATTTTGAATTTTAAATCAATATATTTTATGTGTTAATTGTGGACTAATCGTTGAAAAAAATAAAAGATAAAGTTTAATAAAATAATATATTATGAAATTTTGTTGTTGTTTTGTTATAAATTATAATATGTAAATATCTACATAATTTCATATCAAATTTCACAAATTAATAGATTATTAGTTTTAATGATTATGTAATAACTATTTGAATAAAATGTTAAAAATAACGATGCAAATTATGAATTCGTCTTATTCGATTTGATTATATTTATGCAGTACGTGTAGTCTTTTAGGTTCGTATTATTTTACTTGTATAAGTTCACAGTAACCTTCGAATGTTATTTTTTGGAGAAACTAATTTTTTATTAATTAACTCGAGTCAGATTATATAAAAAATAGTATTTTTAGTCCTTTTAAACTACACTTATATTTATATTTATATAAATGTATTAATACATTTCTCAGTTGGTAAATTTGTATAATGAGGATTTATACAACAGTTACATTTACGAAAAACTGAGTATCTCAACAAAATTTTTATAAAAAATTATTATAAACATATATATAGAATATGACAAGAATGATAATACAATTAAATATTTAACCATTTGTTTTTAGTTATTTAAATACTATTATCAAGACAAAATAATGGTTCATTTACATTCTTGTTTTATTATAGCAATATTTTAAAATTGTTATTATATTTTTTATTTTTTATTTTATTTAAATTTTTATTTTATTATATTAATCTTATGTTAATTCTTATGTTATATTCAATTTAATATTTTGAATATTTGAAAACTACTAACTTATTCTACAGATTGTTATACATTATTAATGATGTATATATAACTTAAAAATGTGTAATTTGTTATTTCGTTTAAAATAAATCTAGTTATATAACGTAATAGCAGTTGTCTACTTTTATTGGACCTAATTAGTTATCTGTGTATCTAATAAAGGATATATTGAATACATAAAAGGTATATTTTATATAATTTATTTTATTATTATATTACTTAATTACATTTTCTTATTAAGTTATTTATAATTAAAAAAAAAGTTTTTAATGTATTTTTATTTATTTTTTATTTTATTTATTTTATTTTATTTATTTTTATTTTGACGGATATTTGTAATTGTCTAAGATAATAATAATTATCTTAAATAATTTAATAATACCTATTATTAATTAATGTAATTACATTATAGAAATATAAACCATTTAAATTAACCTAATAATGGATAATTATCATTATCACACAGATATTATGTTTGATTTCTGTAGTTTTAATTTTTTTAAGCATTAGAATACCTTATTTAAATAATAATTAAAAAATATTGTATTTAATACTAATAATGAGGTATTTAGTGTATTAATAATAATTCCGGTATGTTTACTAATGGTTCTCGTAAAACTTGATTATGATCGTGACTATTAAATACCAAACTTGGAATGTTGTAAAATGTATACTTAAAAGGCAAATGTTGTTTTTTATTTGTATACTTTTTTAATTCATTCTCACTTCTGTTTCGGTTATTATAGATTTCTAATTTTTGAATTTTATGAAAATGAAATTTTCAATTTTATTTAATTGAAAGATATACGGACAAACCTTATCTTGTTATTTACCCAACATATTACTTGCATTATCGAATTTTTTAGTTACTTTTTATTTTTTGAACATAACTAATAAAACTAAAATGTATTAGACAAACAATATTGTATATTATATTATTTAATAAAAAAGTATAGTATAATAAAAATTTAATATCCCTGTAGAAGGTTAATAATTACAATGTTATATGTAAGTAACATTATTTCACTCTTATTATGCACTATTAATTTCATAGTTTCAGAAATTTAAGGATCTATAATTTTGTTGTTATTACATTAAAATATTATCCTTAAAATCAATTCGATAATGAAATAGAATATGGTGGAAGAGTAAATTCAATTTGCAATTAATTTGCATTTAATTTACATCTTTTATTGTAAGAGTTTGTGTCATAATATAATATTTTGATATATTAATGTACTGAGATATAAATTTTTCTTGATAATAAGGTACATAATTATTTTTAAAATTATATATTGTAGTTATTACTGTTATTAAACTTTAATATCTATCATTAAATCTCAATTATTTATGTATATGAATGACACACATATTTCTGTGATAAACGGTAGTTTTCATAAAAAATTATTTAAGTTCAAATACATATGTTTTAATTTGTAGTAATTATATGTAGACATTACAAATAAAAACACAAAATAATAAAAACATGTTTTCGAATAAAAATTTTCAGAATAATATAAAAATTATTTTCATAATGAATTTCAATTAAAACAATCAACATAACGATCGACTTATTACATCCACTCATAGGTATTAAAATCATTTCATTGATAACAAAAAAAAAGCACTTGATTTAAACATAGATATCAAAAATACTTATTTCATATATATATAAATTTAGAATTTGAAGATATTATAAACATTACATTAGTGTTGTCGAAGATTACTGAAGAATATATGTATTATTTATTGAGAAAAAAAACAAACAACTTATAAGTTTATACTATAATATTATAAAACAAAACAAAAAAAATAATAAAAATAATATATCCTTGTATATATCAGATTCGTTGATTATCATAATGACATTTACAAACTCTATTATTCTTAAAGAATAAAAATAACTTTATGACTGATTTTCTCATTATTGTAATAAAATATAATAATATTAAAATATTTGTAAAATTTGAATAGAATACATAATATAAAACCATTATCAAGTTAAAATGATATATATTATTACGTTATTAAATTGAAATTAATTTTATCTATACGACAAAGGCTAGTAAATTAATAATGAATTTTTAAATTATTACTCATTAAAAATGATGATTGTAAAATATAAGTCGGTAATAAAATGTAAGTTGCAATTACTAAAAAAAAAATTGGATGAATTTATAATGGAATGTCTTAATTCAAATACATACTGATTTTAAATATAAAAAGCAGTTTTTAAATACTCAGATTGAATATAAATAAATATTAATAACTGTGATGATTTAACCTTTAAATTGACTATTCTTTTAGGTTCAATTTTATATAGGAATATATTAACATTTCTACATTAAATATCTACAAATACCACAAATTAAACATAATATTTCATCGTAAGATAAAAGAAAATAGTTAAAAATTAATTTAAAATGAAAAGAAACTGTAGGGCATAAATATTAAAATAGTAAAAATTATATAAAAAACAGAAAAAAAATAGTTACAATAAATTTTTGTCCCTGAAATCTTTAGAAAGATATTAGCAGCTACGAATTATACATTTAATTAAATAAATTAATAAAAGATGACAAAAATATAAGAAGAAATGGAATAGAAATTTAATTTTGCAGTATACACATAAAATAATGTATGAATCGCCAAATGAAAAATAATTATTGGTATTATTACTATAAACATAACGAATAAATAAAGCATTGAAAAGAATAAAAATATTGGTGTATTCTATTCTATAAAATAAATTCTATAAAATCTATTCTATAAAATAAAAAATATGAAGGAATAGTAAATAGAATATTATTTAAATAAAAACAATATTTTCAAGAAATTTTAGACAACGAAAAGTTTTTAAGGAAAGATATAATGATTTAGTAGTTCTTAAATATTTAATACATTGGAATATACGAATGAAAATGAAATAAATTAATTAATCAACCAATAAACACGAGGGTGTAATTTATATATAAATATTGATGCAAGTAGATAACATAATATTATCGCAGGACAAAAATTATTAAAATTTCACAATACATTTAAATTATTTGAATAGAAAAAATGAATGTAGTAACATCATTTACTTTATTTAATAAAACTTAAATGAAGAGAGTGATGAATAATATATAGCAATTAATTAATGTTAAGACATTTGCATTTAAAACATACCTTGAAAAATGGTGGGAAGTCAACAAATAAATTAGTCAAAATAAATAAATACAAATTAAAAATAGATAGTGTTGGTAAATAAATATTAAGAAAATATAAGTTTTAGTTTAAAAGAAAGTTCATTTAAAAATATTTAATGCATTAAATTAATTATGAATATATAAGTAAACTTTTCGAATCATACATCATTAATTATTTTAAAATAAAAATAACATATAAATGGAAATATTAATAATATTAATATTTACCTTTTCTGCCAGTAGGGACTGTATATGTAAGATCAGTGAATTCTATGTTAACTGGAGACATTTTTACGATATACGAAAGTGCTAGATTCCCATGAAAGTTTGTTGCGTCCTTCGTCAAATCATTGATATGCCCATTATTGGATAACGAATCCTTAATGATAGATTGCTCCATGAGTGATAAATCTGTGAAAAGCAGAGACCAATTTGAGCATTATTGTAATAAAACTCATAATTTTTCAACAATTGAAATTTTCTATAAAAGTGTATACATACATAAACATTCGTAAATTATAGAAAAATAATAATTGTTTAGAAATATACTTAATTATACTCACTTTTAAATTTCAAGTAACTAACAATCTAGCATAACATATTTATTTATTTATCAATATGAAAGAGCATTTACGATGTTTCTTGTAACTAATGCATTAGAATATATTTATTATTAATATATACAGGTTCTTTCATTTCCCTATTTCAATATATATATAAATATAAATAAATAAAACAAAAACAAAAGAAAATTACATCATAATAAAGGAATATATATTTTTAAATATTTCTAAGCTTTAGTATATTGTTTTCTTTTTATTTTAGACAGATAATAACAAATTTGCAATAATTATCATTACAAATAAAATATTTATATGTCTAATATTTTGCGATTTCTATGGTAACAAGTTTTTTCTAGTCGAGACAAATGTACAAGATACATAAACATCTGTGATGGAAATTCTTAATTCATTAATTAATCTGTTCAAACTTTATACATAAATACTTATCATTTATTCCAAAAATAATAAAAACTACTTTTTATAGTTTTGATAATTATTTTATACAATGTATTTTATATCAAAATTAAAACATCTAAAATGTACATGATATTTACTATATATAAATTTATATTTAAATGATTTCAACAAAATTCAATCTTGTATAATTATTTAAAATATTCTTATACGTGGAAACTTTATTATTAATTTAAGTAAATCATATTTATAAAGATCGTATTTTGTATAAGTATAATATTTATATAGGATGTATACTCATATCTGTGCAAATTCTTATATTTAAGCATAATTACAAATTTGTTTTTATTTATAATAATTCTGCCTTTTTAAACATAACGTGTACAATATAAATTATTGAATTCATTTTATGTACTATATTATTGTAAGAGTTGTTTTATTGCAAGTCATGTAATGAAATTCAGTAAAAAATCTCTTTAAAAAAGTATTTAACAATTTTTTAGCTTTTATAGGTTTCAAATGAACTTTAAAGTTTTTATATATAATTAATTTTCTTTTTATGCTTATAGATACAAATTCATATTTTTTCAATAGTATTAGGAAAATTCGTCTAATAAAGCTAAACAAAATTTAATTCCCTTATCATTTGTATAAATACCAAAAAATAAACACGTAATAAAATTAAAAAATATATATACCATATAAAAGTATAAGTAATATACATTTAAAGATGTATAGAATTAAAAAGCGATTTTCTTTAATTCTATAAAAGATAAAATAACAATGAATAAAAAACATTATGTAATTATGATTATATTTTCAAATAATTTATTTCAATTAATTTTTACGTTGAAAATGAAATATACAATTCTATCTGTCGAATAAATATAGAAATATTATAAGAGTATAATTAAAGTATAGACTAAATAAATATTTTGGCATAACATATTTAAATATATTTAATAAAAAATTGTTTGGTTCAGAATATTCTTATAAAAAATTAATACTTAATAAAAATTTGTTTAAAATTAATGCAATTTCAATTTATAAAAACTAAAATATAATTTAAAAATCAATTAATGCAAGATCAAACAGCGAAAAATTGTTGAATTATTTATATTGCATTATATTGGATAGACATTTTATTTATGAATAAAAAACTCAATTATTATTTCCAAAATTGTTTCCTTATCGTTGAAGTAAGTTTAATATGGTTTTTCTGATTGAAATGATTAGTCAATGTTAAACTTAATTAACTCCTTTAAGTTAAGTTCATTTTATGTAAATAAGACCCGACATAATGCAAAAAATTATTTAAATATTTTATTTCCTTTTCATTTCTAAATTGAATTCTTATTATTTATGTTTTATTTTTTATCATCATAAAATTAATAAAAGCTTTAATTTATATTTAAAATGAATTAAATCTTTGTTTTCGTGAAATAATATAATCACATAAAAGTTGATTTATTTTATAATGATAATAATATTTTTAAAAAATCAATATTTTTATTTTCAATTGCTAAATAACATCAAGATGTACAAAAAATAAAAATATATTAGAAATCAGTTATATAGATTAATTTATAAAATATTAAAGAAATTAATTTTAGCAATATTATATAATTGTTACTTTTATTACTCATGCAATAGATTCAATCATAATTTTTACTCATTGAATTTTAATGATATATATACAAATATACATGAAATTATAAAAAAAATTTATAATTATAGTATATAAGTTAAAATCAATAACTAAAACTTTCTGATCATAACAATACATAATGATATATGTAATTATTGAATCAGAGATTATCAAATGGATTAAAGTGAACATTTCTCTTTACAAATTGACATACGTCAATTAGATTTCACTTTTTAAACATGTAGTAAATATGAATTATAATTTGAAAATTAAAGATTTCATAAGAATATGGTTGTTAAAGATATACTTAAAAATTTTGATGTGAATAGATAATACCATTTCTTACAATAAGAAACTATATAAGTATTGTTATTTTGATTAAACAATATATAAATTTAAATAATTTACCAAAATTATTATTTATATAATTTTAGATAATAACTATTAGTTAACATTATTATGATAAATAATAATCAAATACTATATCTGACCTACTTGATTATTTTATATATTCTTTTAAGATAGTAATAATTTAACATTGATGACTAACAAAAAGAAATGTTAATTTACAAGGAGAAATATAGTATTATAGAAGTTAAATATGAATTGACTATAAAGTATATGAAGTATGAATTTTGTTATTATATTAATGTTTATAATCTAGATTAAATATAATTACTTATCTGTCATAAAATATTAATATTTATTACGATTTAAACTATCATTAATGATTTAAAAAAATTATGTTTTATTGTAATTAAATTATAACAAATATTAATTTCAATGGCTTTTCAAAAGTTACAATAAAACCGATGAAATTAATAAGAAACTAGTTTAAATAGTATATGTATGTAAATTATTTATTTATTGTATGTGTTAAAAATCGTTGCCTTGTTTTTTAATTACATTACATACAGTTCATTTATAGAAAGCTCGCAATAATATATACCGAAACTTTTCTTATTGAAAATATACGGTTGATAATAGAGATATAATATAGAACATAATTTTTTTTAATCGATAATTAAAGCATTAATATATTGCTTCTAATAAATTGTTATTACGAAATAAATAAATTTAAATATTAAGTATTGAAATCAACCTAATTTTATATACATCGTTCTGAAATTCATAATTGAATATATAACTTATATAAATATTTTTTATAAGGAAATTTATTTATAGAACATTTTTTTATTAATTTTATTTATTTATAAACTGTGTTTTTTTCTTTTTTACATTACTAACAATTATTATTTTATTACCGTAAATTTTCTCTAATATATTAAAAAAATATGTGCAAATAATTATTTGATTTTATTATAATTTATATGAGACATTTAATTTGTAAATTATAAGCAAGTATACACTTATTTTCTTAATTATAATTTATTGTCTACGCTGTAATCATCTGATTTAAATTACAGATTCACGTGGAATTGAAAAGGCTCTATTGTAATTTTCTTATTATGTATATTATTTGGTTATCATTATGAAGGTTTATTTAAATTTATATAACATTAAAATTAAATCATTATTAAAACTCATTGTAAGCTGAGAAAAATCTTAATAAAATAATTTAAAGTTTACCTTCTTAGTTTTAATATAATTACGATTTGACTGCTATATATATATAATTTCATGTATCAAAATTTGAAATAGAGAACTAGTTATTTTATTTAATACTTATTTAGCATTATGTAAAAACGTATTGAACAATTGCATTAAATTAATCGAAAATCTTAAATTCTTTCGATAAACTTCTTTTCATTAAGAAACTACTATAAATTAATTGAACTTATATTTTTATAAAATAAACCTTTTTAATACATATAAATAATATAAATATATTTAAGACAGTTTTATATTGTAATTTAATAGTCATGTAAATATTAAAATAATTTCTGTATTCGCATCTATAATTTATATAATATTTGTGAGAATATAAAATATAAATATTTAATTATCTTGAACATAATTGTACTAAATTCGCAGCTGACAAAATTCAATGAACATTTATTCTTGATTGAACCGGATCATTTTGAAAATAAAAATGAATCTATAAAGAACTAAATAGAATGAAATACTTATTTTAACATATTTTAATTTTTGTTACATATAATAATTTGTTACATATTATATATTTCTGATTTAATATATCAAATTCTATATAATTTAATTATTTTATACAAAAGTTCTGTAATAAAAATAATATTAAAAAAAATTGATGAAAACAATAACAACAGAATCACTATTATACTGTACTTCAAATTATTAATTACATACTATATTTATGCGTTAATATATTTTTAAAGTAAACATTAATAAATTATTGAATCTTTATAAATTACTGCTAATTTTTTACTTTTAATTATAAAACCTATAACAATGAAATTGAAAATGAGGGATGTGAATAATTAAACAAACGTAATAATTACAATTGCTTACTTGGGCGAAGGAACTGAACTTATTAACAACCATTATCACATGGCTGCAATTTTAGAAACAGAGGAGAAATATTATTTTATAATCTAGGTTAATAAAATACTACTACATACTCTGTATATTTACACAATGAATGCGATCGTAAATTTAAGACTGTTCTGATAAACTTGAATAATATATTTTCTTTTTGCTTATTAATTGTACAGAATATATTATACAAGAAAAGAATAATATAATAATATAAAATTTATATAAATTTCAAATGTTTTCACATTAATTTTTACGTGAACGAAGTATAAAATATTTCTTAATTTAGATATAAATTTAGTAAAAAT